CTGAACGTAAAAGATGTTGTTGAGGATGGAGCCCTTAGAGTTAGTATGTGCATTTTGGTGCATTTAAGAAACGATACAAATTTCAAATTTCGAAATTTCATTGAAAATTTTAAATCCTTAAAATCAGTTATGAAATTTAAACACAAAAAAAAGTTATGAAATTTGAACACAAAAAATCCGTTAAATTTTGACTTTCAAAAATCTGGTCCAAAATTTGAATTTTAATAAACCGTTAAAATTCAAACTCTAATAATCCGTTAAACTTACAAAACGAAATTCAAGCCATTTAAAGAACAAGTTTGTCTTACAAAATCTATCCAAACTTCCCATAAAAATGCACAAATCTTAAGACCATACAAGGGTAAAAAAAAAATATCCAGAATACATACCCAACCATAATAAAGTAAGCAAAATATGTTTAAAGATTATGATCATACTGCATTAATCCTGCACATGATTGCATATAAATAATAAACAAAATGCAAAGCTGCAATACCAGTTAATGTGTTTATAATTAAATGCACATCATCTCATAATAATGATCATCTATAGATATCAACATAGAAGCACAACACAGAATGATTGTTTATGGAAGTGAGGCGCATGATATTTTAAAAATACGCCGACCAAATTGCAATAATCTTTAAATATGTATGTGCAGGCATAGAGAGAAAATAGAAGACTGCAACAAATCAATTATTTCACATTTTTTATAAGCAGCAATAATAAAAAAAATACACAACAAACCGAGCAAAGCAAGGCAACAGCAGCATGACCCTGAATTCGAGCAATACACTCGGCAGAGAGTACAAGGCGATTTGACGAAACGACTACAAGCATGAAAAAAAGTTTATACTCAACACTGCGACACCACAAATTCAAAACCAACATTGATCGATAATGATATTCTGCTTACGAAATTACGCTTTTTTTGTGCCACTGCTGCTGTTTGCTTCTTCTTTTTTGTGTTTATTTGAAATGCAAAAAAAAAACTTCTTATCGGCAGTCGCGCTTCACAAAGTGATTATGGCTTCATAATGATTGTGGATGAAAATAGAGATACACGTGATGTTTAAAAGTATCGATCAGTGGAATCGTGATTTTTGCTCATTCAGTGGAACTAGCTTTCTTTTGTGCTGTCTAAGGATGTTTACTTATTTCTAATAGATGTCATTATGTCTAATTCATCATTTTTAATAGCTAATCTTGCAAATTCTTACTGATTATCTCAGTTTATTGACATTTCGCGACTTAAAATACAAAATAGGAACTAAAATCTAATATAAAGCTACAAAAGCTAGTAAATGTGACAATAACGGTTAAAATTTATACAAATTTAAGCAAACAAATAACGGAAAATTTTTGAAATTTAAATTAATTCTCGTTAAATAATCAAAATTGGTCACATGAAGCTTTAATGAGATCCAATAATTCAAAAAGATCAGAAATGTTTAGCAATATCCGCATACTTAGTTTACTACTTCTGAATAATCATATCCACAAAAGATCATCATGTTACTTACTCGTATTAAATTCAATTGAAATGTTTGACATTTTTCAGGAATTTAACTTTGAATGAACTAGTTGCTGTTCATAATAAAAAATCAGAATTACTTCAATTACATGCAAAAAAATAATTTGCATTACATTCTGATTCGTGTGTTATACACTCCCGACACCCCCACAACAGCAATCTCGTATTGCTATCTGCCTTACTACATCATTACATTTTTTTCGTGCTTCTGTTGTTGTTTTTTTGCACATAATTTTCAATTGAATAGAGGAAGAAGAAGAATGTGAAATAAATATACACAAACAACTTGAGCCGATTTTGCAATGCAATATCCTTGACCTAAACTCGCAATTCTCACTCTATCGCTCTCTGTCTCACTTACTCGATTAACTTTTTATTTTAAAAGTGAATACTTATTTTTATGGGTTTGCGTATTGTTTTACAATTTTAGTGATGTACAAAATTTCAAAAAAAAATTTCGTTAAAACTTCCAAATTTAAAAGTACGTTAAAAATTCAAAATCTCCACAAAAAAATTCAAAAATTGAATGTTCGTTAAAAATTCAAAATTTAAAAGTACGTGAAAAAATCAAATTTTTGTTGTATGTTAAGAATTTCAAAACTTTTAAAGTCAATTACGATTTCGCAAATTTGAGTTTTTGAATAAAAAAAATCTTTTGAAATGTTTCAATAAGGGGCCGTTCACTTATTACGTTACGCAAGAAAACGACTTTTTTCACCCTCCTTGTTACAATATGTTACAACTCACAACCCCCCCCCCCCCCCCCCTGAACGTTCATAATTTGTTTTATTTTGATAATTTTTCATAAATCATTTTTGGTGTGAATTTTTTTCGTGAACTTTTTTTTAAAAGACAAACAACAGTTTGAACGTTACATACTTCTTGACACCCCCCCCCCCCTTGTTACATTTGGTTACAATTTTTTAAACCTCCCCCCCCCCCCCCCCGTCCCCCCTAAAATGCGAATTTCGAAAAATTCGCTCAATCCACAAAGTTCCAGTGCCTACTATAATCATTAATTTATTCTGCCTGATCGCTCTTTCTCTGTTCCTTATTCTTTTCATTTTTACATACAAACAATTTACTTTCTGCTTGTTGCAATGTTGATGCGAGCGACTATAATCATTTTATTTATATTTAGAAAATAAAAAATACATACAATAATAAAAAGAGTTCAATTCCTCTATACAGACGATAGCTGAAAAAAAATCTATTTAATTGATGCATAAAAATGAGATCAAGTGCAAATACGTAAGCGATATTATGTATTCATTAGTTATTAAAATGGCTATAATGTTGGAACTTTGTTTGAAAGCGGCACTAGTCACAGCATGTGCATGACAAATCAATGAATGAATTAGATGAGAATTTTGCAGCTAGTAGGGCATGCGAAATACTCACACACAAAAATGATATTGGTCACATCCGAATGCGATCAAGCTCATGATATGGATGTGCAATGAGTTGGAACTAGATTACCTTGAATATCTTCTGTCTGTACCTCCTGTGTGTGCATTATTCTTCAATGTTAAGTTGTATTGAAATTATATAACTTTATAAGAATAAATGCAGCTCTTAGTTCCATAAAGGTCTTATTTACAGTGCAAATTGTTGCTTATTGCCATTTATGCCTTACAATACCGGATATAAATTATGACTTCATAGTTACAAGGCATTTAATTTTATTTTGTGATCACTTCCATTTTCTTGACTTGCTGCTGATCAAAAAGAGTCAAAATTTCCTGTCGATAATCACACAAAAAAGTTTTTTTTACAAAAAAAAAACAGAACCGAGGAAAGATGTCAAAATAAGACGAAGACATGAAAAGATTGCACTTTTTGCAAGGGGATAACAACATAATGAGGAACTATTAATAATTTTTCAAAATTTTCTCATCGACATTTTCGTAAATAATTCTGGAAATCTAATTAAAATTCCCAATTAAATCATTTCTCCATCATGTTGTTACCCCCTTGACTTTTTGCTGATGCAATCAATTCCTTTGAACGAAACCAAATGAAGATGATAATTGACAAAAAGAGACGAGACATAGCGCATAAGCAATCCACAGCTAAATATTTATTTTTTTTTATTTTTGCTTGTGAGATGACGCAAAAAGACCTTGATACAAGACATCGAACTCATCTTCATCGCATAAATATATTTATTTTTTTTTTCATTCTCTCACTCACTCCACCGACTATTTCAAGGCAATTATCAAAAACGTATTTTTCGCGCGATTTTTATTTATAAATCTACGGCACATTTGTCACAATCATTGCTCATTTGTGAATAAAAGAGTCGGTGAGATTGGCGAATGAGATTATCAAACGGCTTGGCTGGTATTGAGACATTGTCAATGTTCCATTTATGCAACTTTATTTTTGGGGATTATTGTGAAATTTGCAAACTTTTTTTGAATTTTAATGTTTTTTATTGGCTTAATCAGGCAATTTATATGCTGTAGATTAGGTGATCTGTGCTGATTTGGATGAAAAGTTGGATAAAGGTAGCTATTCAAGCTATCCTAGAGTATTTGACTAGTGTCAACCCTAGGAGCTATCCAAACAGGCACAAAATCAAAAAGTCAGTCAAAGAAGCACAAATCTGACCGAGTTCCATCCAAAATCTCAATAATTCCCAATAATTTACGACCATAGCATGCACCAAGCAATGAATAGTGCGATTGATAAGAAGAAATGACTTTCATAATCACATAAATTCATTGGGGATGGGCAATTGGACATAAATAATCATTTTGATGCCACTTATAATGATCGAAGGTCATGAATGACAAAAATTTAATCACATCCAGTCATTTTTGATGCAATTTATTGTTCGTATGTTTACCAAACATGTGTACACAAATGCCATATATGCGTCAAGCATCGAGCACATTAATTGTTTACACAGCGTATATATATTATTTTTTTCTGGATCATTGAACTAGTACATGGTTGAAGCTAGAAAGTACTCTCTCAATGTGATGAAATTAAAAGTTAATTATGAGCGCGCAGCTATTAGTATGTGTGAAATGATAAGGAGGAATAGCAGCAAATTTTCACCATAGGGGAACACATTATAGTAAATGCGAATTATTTTATTTACGTTAAAATTATTCTTTTTTTTTGTTCGTAGCAACGATTTTGTAAAAATAGCTCGGCACTTACTCTGTTGCGTAATATGAGACTCACACAAATATGTGGAGCACGAATGTGCATTCTTGAAATGCTTTTATCACAATCGTCATCATAATTCAATCAAATCTGATAACGAAAAAGTTTATTTTTTTGTTTTGTTTACACAAGCTTGTGCTTACTTCATTGTACAATATACAGTCAGTAATAGTAAATGGTGATAATTGATAAATAAGCAGAAGCTCACAAATTAATTATCAAAGTTTGATATCGTTTTATGACATAATAAAAATAATTAATTTTCATTCTTATTTCTCTATATTTACAGTACCAGACAATTACTACCTGCATAATCTCAGTAATAGTAACAATACCGCCAATAGTTACTCGTCAAATTTCACATCACCGTCACCACCACGTACGACGATAAATTTGTCGGGTGCCTCATCAAATTCGTCCACTGCCAATGGTCTCGCACACCATTCTGCCCTACATCAACATACACAAAGTTTTCATCCACATCATTCGGTTGCTGCCGCTGCTGCAGCACATCATCATCATCAACAAAGTGTGATTCAAGCTGCAACGTCAAGTTGTCAGGATGACTTATCGTATATGCTTGAGTATGGATTTAATCCACAGTCTGTACGTTCGGGAATGAATGGATTGGGTCCACATCATGGCTTAAATAAATTAAAGAAACCGAAGAAGCCAAAGCTCGAGATGGGAATTAAGAGGAAGAGTCGCGAAGGTTCAACAACATATTTGTGGGAATTCTTACTGAAACTTCTTCAAGATCGTGAATATTGTCCACGATTCATCAAATGGACAAATCGTGATAAGGGAATCTTCAAGCTCGTCGATTCCAAAGCCGTCTCAAAGCTGTGGGGTATGCATAAGAATAAGCCTGACATGAACTACGAGACAATGGGTCGTGCATTAAGATATTATTATCAACGTGGAATTCTAGCGAAAGTTGATGGTCAACGACTAGTTTATCAATTTGTGGATGTACCAAAAGACATAATCGAGATTGATTGTAATGGACAATGAAACATGATGATGATGATGACAAGGATCTTGTCCCCACATTAGACACATGCTAAAGTCTTAATTATTAATTTTTAAAATTTTTTTTTTGATAGAACTAAAACAAATTCTTTTGATGAAAAAAAAAATGGTGATAAGAAATATTTAATTAATTTTTGACCTACCTAATGCTATATCTGTTCTGTTCTTTAACAAACCAATACAAAAACACACACACAAACGATTACTTTTAAATGGATCAATTATAATTGAAATCCCCCCCAAAATTTCTAATAATTATTATTATTATTTTGTATGAATGACAAATGTGTATAAATAATTTAATTATAATTAATAATTGTGAGATAAATTTTAAGCGGGAGAATCTACAAGAAAATATTATTGAGAGGAACTAAAGTCATTCAAAAATGTTAAAGGACAAACAATTAATTGAGGAAAATTTTACATTTCTTTATTTTGAGATAGTCAGCCAGTTGTGGTACGATTTTTTGGTACAAAATTCTACAAATCTACCCCATGCAGCAAACTTTAACGAAAACTTTTTGGGGTCGATTAGCAAAAACAAAAATTTTCCTCTACAATTTTTAAGTCCACGATCATGATTTTACCATAGATAATTTACATTTTCACTATGACGTATAGACAAAAAATTATAAAAAAAAACGGAAGTATAAATTATACAAAAAAAAGTTTACACAACTTGATTATTTTTAAAAAATTGTAATTAATAGATTTAGTGAAATTTTTTTAATTATTATTATCATTATTGCTATTATTATACCTACTTATTGTATAAAATGTTCTTTTTTTAATTATTATGTCTACTTTATTTTAATAACTTCCTTAACTTTTATTATTTAAATTATATTTTAAAGACAAATATTTAAGTTTCGATTGGGGAAGATTTTGATGGATATGAGGTTGGGTCTTGTGATCCTGTAAAGTTTTATAGATGGATTAAATGTGTTTAATGTTTCTTGTCAATAAAATTGAGCTATTTCAACAAGTTTTAATCAGAATTCACAAAAACAAATGCTTTAAAATCTCAAAACTTATTTTTTCATTGCCAAGGTTAAGAAATTCTCAATTTAAATCACAAAAACATTCGTTTAAGTATGAATCACTATTGTTAAATATCCATTCTACAACTTATAATACGTAAATTTTATTGAACTGTGAATATTACTTGAATACCGTAAGATTACATAAAACTATTCATGATTGCTATTTAAATTATATTAATTAGCTTTGAATGGGAATTTATGATTTCTTTAACTTATGAATATCTAGATTTTGAGAGCATTTAAGGAAGATTTGAAATTTTCTCATCATTATTTAAACTTTTTACTGCCAATATTTTCATTTTAATCTCAAAAAATTGAAATTTTTCTTTTTAAATTGCCTCAAAAATCTAGAAAAAGTCTAAAATATTGAAATTGTCAAGATTTTAATTCTAGAAAATATTCTTTGAATTATCCTTAAACTTATAACTCTTATAAAATTAAAAACTCAATTCAAACTCCAAAATGACCGCAATTTTCATCTTAAATATCAATTTAAAAAATTGACAATCTATTAAACGACCAAACTATCCTCATTAAGCTTCAAACTTTCCCAATCGAAACGTCTTTCTGCGTACTACAAAAGCTTCTCCCTCCTTATCAAAAGAAATAAAGTAAAAATCAAGTGAAAAAGTAACAAAAATCAAATAAAATTAAAGTGAATTTCCTTAACTTATAGTTGTTATATTATTATTATTATTATTATTACTATTATTATAATTATTATGATGGTAATTTACGGATCCTCTTATTCCCCTTTTTACTATTTTAAATTACATCATTTTTTTAAGAGAGTTTTTATTAAAATTATAAAGTGGGCGGAAAATTAGTTGAGATCTCATTTTTTTTTCTTATTTTGTAAATTTAACTTTAAAGAAATTTTCTCATAAATCGCAAATCACTTTTTTTTTCGTTAAGGAAAAGGCGATTGAAAAAAAAGGAGGAAAAGTTTTGTTTTTCCTTTTCTGAGCTTAAATTTTCTTCGGTCGGTCAGCTTCCTTTCATGACCCTCCCAATACACAAATGAATTTTTTCTTAGAAGGATTTTTTTTAAGGAAAGACAAAACTTTTCAGTCCTCGAACTCATGCAATATGTATAAATACTACTAATAGATGAGAATATGATAGATACATTAAAGATGGTGTCTCTTAACAATAAATTATTATTTAACACACCCAGCAACACCCTCCCATACGTCCTACTCGTCCGCAAATTATTTATGTAAATTTATGTGAATATAATTTATAGGAATTAAAATGATATTAACAAAAAAAAACAATGCTTTCGTGCTTCTCATGGAAGTAATAAGTGAAGAAATTGCAGATAAAAATCTACAAAAAAAGGGAGCGAACAGTCAATAAGGAACTAATTTATAAGAAGCATTTGGCTGTGACTCTTACAGTCAATTGTTTCTCAAGATATAAAAATTTGATTTCAAATTGTGAGATAAATTGCAATGGAAATCTAGTTTTTGAGCTACAAAAGATACACTCCAAAATTTAATTAAATTCATTTTTTTATCATTTTGTCTTAATTTGTAAATTCTTTTTTAAAAATATTATTATAATTATTATTTAGTTTAATGAAAAGCTCTTTTGTAAAGTTTATTTCAATTTTACTATTATTTTGAAGTTAAGTTGTAAATTTTTTGTTCTGATTTATTCGAATTACAATAATAAAAAGAATATATGTAACAACAAAAAAGTACAAATTTTTTATTTATTATTTCTGCCTTATTTATTTTGTTTTCTACTCATGCTTTCTTTACTTTTCATTTTGTTTATTTATTTTTTTTTAATTCATCTTAAATCACTTATTGGATAAATGGGGTTTTTCGGAATCAACAGAAAAATAAGTGTCGTCATGAGGTTTCTTAAGGTTTATTATTTTTATTTTACAGCAAGTTTTTTTATTTCAATTTTGAGGAACAAGTGTGATCATTGTTGATCATTTTTTATTCGTTTTTGATTATTTTTGTTCGTTTTTGAACCTTTTTAGATAATTTTTGAACACTTTTGTTCATTTTTAATCATTATTATTCCTTTTTATTTATTTTTAATAATTTTTGTTCCCTTTTTAAATCATTTAAATTATTTTAAATCATTTTTGATTCTTTTTATTTATTTTTTTCATTGTTGAACAGTTTTTGCTCAATTTTCATCATTTTTTGATCATTTTTGTTTATTTTTGAAAGATTTTGATTATTTTTTGATCAGTTTTACGCCCTTGATTAAGAATTTTATTTTTTAAGAAGAAAAACCAGTTTGAAAACATTTAGTTTGTCTTCGTAGAGTTCTTAAAATTAGGAAAAATTACCAAACCAGTTTTGAGACAAAAGATATTGAATTTGATTCAACAAAACAGCAACAAAAAGAATCTCAACATTTTAAGTATTTTCCAGAAAACCAATTCTTACATCATAGTTCGGATTCCCCCATAAAATACTTCTCAGTTAAGTCATTCAAGAATTTTTGTGTTAACCCGTTTAAATTTGCTGCACGTGCTTATCATTTCCTAAATTTAAAACACTTTACACGCATTCAATATAAAATTTATCAAAGCAGAAAGCTTTAAAAGCTTTTTAAAAATAAAAAATTGTTACATCAAAATGATAACAATCAATTGCAAATTTCTTATTCACCAAACATACAAAAATAGCATTAAATGAACAAAGAAAACCAACAACAACAATTATTGCAAAAATTCACTGCCGCAAAATCTACAAAAAAAATATGAAAATTAAATTTCAGGAAAAAAAGCTTTTAAGAAATAAAAAAAAAATTGCGAAAGTAGATTTTTTATTTTGCTAATTTTGTGAATGTTTAGAAACCAAATGAAAATTATAAATACTATAAACAGAAAAATCCTTTAATCTCAATAAAGAAGCGAGAATAGCTTATAAATATCAAAATGTTATGTCATGAAATTTTGATCAATTTTATTGATGTTTAACTTTCCATGACCTTTGCATATATCACAAAAGTCATTTTTTTTTGTTATCATAAATAATTCCATTTTCATCTCGCAAAAAAATGTAAAATGTGAGAATGGAAAGAAGAATTTGAGCGAATTGTACAGACATGTGTATTTAGTCAGGTGATCTGAGTGGCATATTGACTTAATTGATCGAAAGAACAATATGCAGACGAGTTGACACAGTAAAATAATAATTAAAGACTTAAGGAACTGATGTATAAAAATAATAAAACTGAAATTAATTATTTGAAATTTTTAACGGATATTTTAAATTCAAATAATCAAAATTTAACAAAATTCAAAAACTTTTTGACTGTTAAATTAAAAAATTGCTAAAAACTTCATTTCTGTAATAAAATTACTGTATTAAAATAAAAACTAGTTGTCGACACTAGGAATTTCCTCGACTACACGTGTTTTACAATACTTTGTTGTTGAACAAACATTACGAACGAATACATTTATTGCAATAATTTTACAAAACTATAATTCAATTTACCGAATGCAATTAATATTGAATAATAAAATAAATTAAAACGAAATAAAAATAGTAAAATAAAACAAATAAAAAGGAAATCACGAAAAATCACACAATCAAGATTGATAAAAAAAGTTGTGAGTTGCAAACTTTTTTAACAATGCAAAAAATAATTAAATTGTAAATTGAAACGTTAATTGATTAAAATCAACATTTTGTTAAGCAAAAAAGTGTGGAAAAACAGAAAAAAAAATCGTGTAAAAATGAGCTTATGAGTGATTGAAATTAATTCCTTCCTGATTTTATTTCTAATTTTAAAGAATAATGAAAATTGGTCAACAAATGAAAGGATATAAAAAATAATGTTGAAATGAACAGGAGAGAATAGGACAGATTTTGATCCTAAAAGCTGTCGTAAGGAACAATTAAAAGAAATATTGAGATTGATGTGTATTATGCTAGACTTATTGCATAATTAGGGACCTAAGGATGAGCTCTTAGGTTACGTAGCATATGATATTAGCGGACATAGTTGCTAGATACTCAAATTAGACACTCCTTCTATCCAAATCCATAAAAAACCACAAGAAAATTAAAAATAAAATAAACTAGGAAATGAAATAGCTTTTAGGGTCAAACACCGACCTTCAGACAATGAGTTGATACTGTCTGATACAAAGTTTGACTCGAAAGCTATAAATTAATTAAAATTTGGATATAAATTTTAATAAATTCTCATGAAATTGTTTTATGACAGATAAGAAAAATCATAAAGAACAGTCAAATTCATACTTTGTGAATTAAACTTATATCTACATGGTTGAAGCTTGATGGAAGGCTCTTACTTCAAAAATCTTGGAAAGATTGTTGGAAAGGAGAAATTAAGTTGTCTTTGAAGTGACGTTTTTGGAACTTCTTGTTAAATCACACTAAATTTTTAACCCTGAATTAATTTTGGTCAATAAAGTGTATCGTGACACAGAAAAGCTTAACTAACCATGGTACCGGCTGTTCAAAATACACTTCGTCATAAACTGCACCGAGGATGAAGATTAAACGTTGATAAATCTAGACTCGGTTGGAGTATTGTCGTATTGGTAAAACCAGAGTCGATATTAATGCATTAACATATTTGGCCAGTATATACGACTGGTTGCTATAACGACACTTCTATGATGATCTATTTTACACGTCATGCAAGTTTTTAAAGCTCTTAAAAGCTCCAACCTTGGTAAAACAGTAATGAGCAGTAAACTCATTTGATCTGTCTAGCCACTTACTGAATAGAATGAAAAATCGAAGAAAGAAAGACTATAAAGGAATGAAGCTTTAAAATGATGGAAATGCCAAGGAAATAAATTAAAATTATAGAGAAAAATTGGGTGCTAAATTGATATGAAATGATTCCTTTAAAAAACATTGAGAATGGACTGAAATGAAATATTTTTTAGTTTTGCTCCTTTAATTTACAAATTTTAAAATATTTTAAGATAATAAATTTGTAAATTTAAATTGTAAGTAGTGATATTTTGTATATAAAAAAGGACCGTAATCTAGTAAGAATTTTCATATACTTAAGACTCACATGTTCTTCATATTCTACTTAAAAAATCTAGTCAAATTTTGATTTATTTTATAGCATAAAAATATTGATTTAAATTGAATGAAATTAGAGACGACTTAAAAAGCTTTAAAGGAGCTCAAAAACCGAATTATTGCTTCATTAGAATTTTAAACTCTTTCATTATATTTCCACAAGTATTTAATTTTCATTAATAAAATTTTAAAAGGAAATTTGAGAAAATAATAAAGAAAATCTTCTGTCTACCTACGCACAAACCGCTTCACGAAAATGATGAGAAAAATACGATAAAATAGCATGAATAATAGAGAAGATTAAGTATATAATTTGATATATTGAAACATAACTCACTTAAAAATAAAATAATCATGAAAAGCTGCATGAAACCTCATGAATGAAAAATGGTCCAACGTAATAAATTTTAGCTTATTTCTATAAACAAAAGGAAATGCAGTTAAAATATCACAAATTATAGCTGAAAATATGCGAGGATGTTTTAATTATTATAATGATTACAAATGAATCAATAAAATCGTTTGCTTATCTAAACAGGAACTGATATTGAGTTACAAATAGTAATGATCAAAGCTAAAGTGACTAGCCCATAGCAGGAGTTACTAGCAATTTTCTAGTCTTTCTATTCTACTACTTGCAATTTACTAGTTATTATTAAAACAAC